TGTTTGAAGTATTACATATGTCTCCTTTTAACCCCATTGCCTCTTCCTGGCCATTCCCCCCCACCACCATTACCACCACAGCTCGTGCCCTCACTTCCCTAGTGTCTGTGTCCATTGGTTATGCTTTTATGCATGCATACAAGTTCTTTGGTTGATCTCTTACAGCTCCCTCCCCCCATTGCCTTCCCTCTGAGATTGGATGATCTGTTCAATGCTTCTATGTCTCTGGATCTATTTTTGTTCATGAGTTTATGTTGTTCATTATATTCCACAAATGAGTGAGATCACGTGATATTTATCTTTCTCTGACTGGCTTATTTTGCTTAGCATAATGCTCTCCAGGTCCATCCATGCTATTGCAAATGATAAGAGTTCCTTTTTTTTTATAGCAGCATAGTATTTCATTGTGTAGATGTACCACCAATTTTTAATTCATTCATCTTCTGATGGACACTTAGGTTGTTTCCAAATCTTAGCTATGGTAAATTGTGCTGCTATGAATATAGGGGTACATATGTCCTTTCTGACTGGTGTTTCTGATTTCTTGGGATATATTCCTAGAAGTGGGATCACTGGGTCAAATGGGAGTCTAGATATCTTTAAGTCAGTGTTTTGACTAGAGGAGTGACATAATCTGACTTCTATTTCTAATGGACCACTCATGGTGCTATATTAAAAAGAGGTTGGGGCAATCCCTTCACCATTTTCATCCCCCAAACCCCTTACCCTCTGACAGCAGTCTGTTCCATGTAACCATGTCTTTGATTCTATTTTTGTTCATCAATTTATTTTATTCATTGTATTTCACATCTAAGTGAGATCTTATAGTATCTGTCTTTCTCTGATGGGCTTATTTCACTTAACATAATAATCTCCAGGTCCATCCATGCTGTTGCAAAAGGTAAGATTTCCTATTTTATTTTATTCTATTAGAGGCCCGGTGCACAAAAATTTGTGCACTGGCAGGGGAGAGGGAGTGGGGGCAGTGTCCCTCAGCCCCACTTGTGCCCTCTCACAGTCTGAGACTCCTTGGGGGATAACCACCTGCTGACTTAGGCCCGCTCCCCGGGTGGCAGATGGCAGGCCCAATCCCTCGGTGCCTGCCCTGCCTCCCTAGGTCGCGCACATGGCAAGGCCGATCCGGGGGTTGGGGTGCCGCCCCGGGTCAGCTCACACATGGGACGCCTGGGTGGGCCAGCTGATTACTGCTGCCCCACTCGGCCACCCCGGGTTGGGTCACACATGGACGCCCACTGCCCTGGGTCGCAGATAGCAGGCCCGGATGGCGGAAGGACAGGCAGGATGGTGCTGTCCCACCCCACTACCCCGGGTCACAAATAGCAGGCCCAGATGGCCATGGGGCAGGTGGAATGGTGCTTTCCTGCCCTGCCTGCAGTATGCAAATTAGCTGCCATTTTGTTGGCAGTTAATTAGCATATTGTGCTGATTAGCCAATTGGAGGCGTAGCAAAGATACAGTCAATTACTATGTTTGTCTATTATTAGTTAGGATTGTGCAAATGTACCACAGTTTTTCTATCCACATGTATTACACATAGACGCAGACAATAGTGTGGTGATAGCCAGAGGGGAAGGGGATTGGAGGATAAGTGGAGGCGGCAAAGGGGTTAGGAAATGGGAATGGAAAGATACTTCACTTGGGGTGATGGGCGCACAATGCAGTGTGCAGATAATGTTTTGTTGGGTTGTACACTTGAAACCTGTGTGGTTTTGTAAACCGTCACACCAATAAATTCAATTTTTAAAAAAGATGCTGAGGTAGAAGTATGGGGACAGTTAGGAAGTCATTACAATAATGCAAGTAGGCAAAGAACTTCTTTAACATTGCTACCCAAATGCATGAAGGAATAGAAATATGTATTTTTTTTAACTTTAGAAAGCATGTACATCAATACTTTTGGCTTAGAACATCTTTTCCTACTCCCAACCATCAGTATTTGAATTATTCCTTAATAGTACTTAATACCACTCATAACTATAAATTTTGTGGTCATTTGTTTAAAATCGTCTTACAGTTTAAGCTTCTTGAGGATAGGAACCATGTCTTTTCCTTTAATGAGGGTATATCAGTGCCTTTTATAGAACTGACACTTAAGAACAAATTTTGAATGAATAAATAAATGAACCAATGAAGAAATCACAAGTCCTTCAGTCTTGCTGGTCTTCTGACAGAAAAAATCTAAGTGCAACTAATGTCTCCTCCACATCCTCCCATTGACCAGGGATTCTTAAAGATTAATTACTATGTGGGTGAGAATAAAGAAAAAGATGTAAACTAGTTTCTCATATGCTAGAATAAAAGGAAACCAGGGAGGCAGGATTAGGAGATACAGTATAACTAAGCAGTTTTATATTTACTCGAATAATTATGTATATATATATACTCAAATAATATATATATATTATTTACAAAATTATTAGAAATCATCTAAATTTTTATTTATCATATATTTTACATTATTAATGTACTGTGCCCTCTTGCAGTCTAGGACCCCTCGGGGGGTGACCACCTGCGGGCTTAGGCCTGCTCCCCAGGAGATTGGGCCTAAGATGGCAGTCAGACTTCCCTCTTGCAGCCCGGGAGTCCTCGGGGGATGTCCACTTGCCAGTGGGGAGCAGCCTAAATTGCAGTTGGATATCCATAGCACTGCTGAGGAGGCAGGAGAGGCTCCCACCACCAACGCTGTACTGGCAGCCATCAGCCTGGCTTGTGGCTGAGCAGAGCTCCTCCCATGTGAGAGTGCTCTGACGACCAGGA